TCAAGATTAAGAAGTTAATATTAGTTTCAAAATATGTCGAGATGAAAATAAAATTAATTATCATTATTTGTACGAAAAAGACGATATATATTGGTTTTCTTACGTCCTATATATCCTAGTTATTTCCATTCTTCTAAATATCTAAACATCTTTCATGAAATAAATTTTTATATTGATAATTGACATTTTCATGTAATTACTCTTGCCTTGTAAAACATCTTTGGAAAGAAAATGTCTAATGGCTACTTTTTGCTAAATTTTAACTGTGTAAACCCATATTTGCTCAATTTAATGACATTATGCTTTCCACTGTCAAGTTGAATTAACTTTGCATTTCATACAATTAGCTATATTGATGACTATTGACTAAAACTTGGATCATAAAAGTGTTTATGCTAAATTAAAAACTGCTTCAAATATAAAATGACTGTCCCACAGCTATCATTCATTCTATCCGAAGGATATTTATAGAAATGTGAGTTTCATGGGTTTATTGATTAAACTTGTAAAAAAAAAGTATAAGAAAATACTGAAAACATTTATTATATATTATTTATTGTACAAGTTATTTCGACTCTCACTATTTACCCTTAGACAAGCTTAATGTCACTTTAAGAGAAACGTGTCTTTAATGAAAACATTAACGAGGAAAATGTTTAAAAACAACACACACAAACTAAAATGTACTTCAGAATGTCTCTTTATACATGTACTTAAATTATACAAACAAGAAATATAAGTTAAATTCCATTTCCGGCTTCTTCAATATTGAGAGAATTAAATCATGATTTTGTCAACATATCTATTTGTATGTAATAATTTAAGACATGGTGCTAGTTAGCGCAATTCAGTTTTTAAATTTAAAATTCCACACGGACAACATTTCACAGGATGTCTAAAAAAGTAAAATTAGATTAATCCGTAGTTAAAAGTACTAGTACTGTTATTTAGGTCATCATATAACAAAACTATCTCATCTAGATAAGAGTAAATGAGACTTTCATGAATACATGATGCTGCTTACGAAAAACGTGTTACTATTCACTATGTTAACTGTTTGCAATATGATAGATTCCATAGCACGAGGCCACCTAATCAAAAGTTTTTATTGACCTTTATTATAAATTTCTTTAAATATTCATTAGAAAAGCGAAACAAAACTGGTCCTTTCTGAGGTTTCAATTTTGATACTTACATAGGCTTATGAAGAAGTCATCATGTTTGTAGTATTAGTGACATCATAAAAGACCAAAATACACAAAAGGCATAAAGTATAAATTTTTGAAAAAAAAAAAAACAACAAAAAACAAAACGTAACATTACATTACATGACCTGTTACACAGGTGCGCTATTGAGCTAACTGATATAGTTTTAAACGTCTTGATCAGTAGTAATGTGTTTAACAACAATTTGATTTAGTTTTTTTTTTATCGAAAATGTTTTCGTTCGTCAGCATCAATTATACAACTAATACATATCTCTCTGACTGACTGAATGAATTGTATTGTAACTAAACATTAGCAAACACAAATTAATTACAAATTTCTTGATAAAATTCAATGTGAGCCTTGAAAGTATAATGTGTATGATTTATCTATGCAATTAAACTTTTCAAATCACCTAATTCATCATGCACCGGTATTAGATTTCAGGGAGCCATGGTAGTTAACAGTTTAGAACTTATCCGTTCTTTTAGAAAGTTTACCGGTACAATTTTAAGCAACGATTTTAATCCTGAACACTACCGGTATATATGTTAGAATTGATTGATCTTACCGTATTTTTGTGAGTCCAGACGAATATTGTTTCTAAACAATATTTGAAGAATAATTATTAGCGTGCATGATAGGACATCCCATTAACAAAAATGTACATACAATTTTCTAATTACGTATAACTGCTTCGATTGCATAACTTTTCTCTTTTCAGGTAATTACTGTATTTATTCAAACAGTCATTTTCTAATAAGGTATACCTGCTTAGAATGCAAACGTCGGCTACCGTTTGATTCTAATATATTGCGAAGGTTGAACAATACCACATTAAGTATGATATGATATGTTTGTACATATTAAAAATGACAATAAATGACTATTTATCTTGAATATTAAATGTGAGTAACGCAAACACATACAGTCATGCCAACCTTGCAACAAATTACGATCGTGCAAACATCGGGTTTCTTTTGTCAATATTTATAATGTGTTCCATATTAGAAGAATCCTCCGTCATGTGGTCATTATCAAATGTACTAGTAACAAAATTGTCTAGTGAATACAAACGTTCTTTAGGACCACGTGAATAAAACGTTAGGTGCCTTGTAGTCAAATTTGTAATTATCATTTCCATACGAAAGAACCAGTCTCTCTCAAACTAACAACCATTGTAATGAGCAACTAGTCCGTGCTTTGACACCGGTTAATGATGTTCACAAACTTATGTTACAGTTCATTAGGTATATTTCAGAGGGATATTTCTTGTATTTCACGTATAATTATTTTTTACCATACTTTATAAGTAAATTTATCTAATGAACAGTTTCAGGGATATAAATGCCATTCGTTCTAGAAGTCTGAAGATTCACAATTGAATTATTGTAATTACAGAGTAACATTCCCGTACACATCGAAATTAGATGTTTATAACAACGTAACATATCATTCATCTATTTCTTAAACGATCCGTAGGATAGCATCTACAAAATGATTTGAAAAAGCATAATTCATTTACGGGATGAGAAAAACATTCATACTTCTCTTTTATAAATTACACTATAAGAATGATATAGTAAATTAAATCGAAAAATCAAGTATATTGTTCATTATTCATTGTCAACAATATGTACCTTATACATGTAGCCAATCACTGTCGCAAATAGCGAGTGTTTATATACAATTAAGTTGTCGAAATCAGTTGATGACCGGTTGAGTCAAGACTCCGTCGGAACCTGAAAGAACTCTTTCAGAATCCGTCGGAGTCGATACTTAAATATTTCATGTATCACGAGTTTTATGCTATTTTCAGGTTAATTGTTACCTATATAAAGGGAATGAAATTGGAAACCGGGGTTATTAGTTTGGGATTAGTTAAGATGAGTTTAGTTGTGTTAAGAGAAAATTACATGTGAGGATTATTAAGGAATATTGTCTGTAAAATAAAACAAAATAATTGGATTTATAAAATAAAGAAAGTAATAAGAAATTATTGTGTTTTACTTTAAATAAAATAAATTCCAGTGTGGCAAAGAAATAGAAAGCTACAGTCCTAAAACTGAAAGTTATTAAACTTCGCCACATTGTTTGGTCCCGCGAACCGGATAACATTCAGTGGATACAATAAGTGAAGGAGAGTGCTTTTAATAAGAATTGTGATTTGGATATTGTTCAGTGAAGAATTGTTTGTTATCTTGGATACATTTATTAGGTGAGTGTGACTTCAACTAAAAATGACTAGTGTTAAACATTTAAAAGGTGTTAGGACAAGATTTAGAAATATTCTGCAGAAAAATATTGATTTTGGAAACGATCTGATAAGTATTGATATCGAAAGCTGTAATATTGAGAAAAATGTGCTGGAAACAAATAAATGTATTCAAACATTAAAAGTGTATTGTGAAAAGTTAGAAGTTCAAAGTGAAAAATTGGCATCAGCCATCGAAGAAGGTGATTCAAAAGTAATTGAAACAATTACCGAAGAAGATTGTGAACTGTGTTCTGAAGCTGTAGAATGCTCTATAAATCTACAACAGTTTAAAGAAATGTTTCTCAACGAAAAAGAGAAAAGTGAAATGAAAAATGTTAAAAGTGAATCAAGTGTAGAAACACATTCAGATGAGTTTATGGCACTACACAAGGACATGCAAACACTCATGCAGCTACAAATCCAACAACAAGAAAGACTACTGGACATTGAAGTAAACAAAGGTAAACATTCTTCTACAAAATTACCTAAACTAGATTTAATATCATTTGGAGGAGATAAGACAAAATGGAGTGAATTCTGGGATTCATTTCAGTGCATGAAAATCAATCACTTTCAAATAGTGAAAAAATTCAATTATTTACGAAATAAAGTCTTCGGAGATGCTCAACGTGCGATCTCAGGTCTTACATTATCGGACGCTAATCATAAAATTGCAATCGATATCTTAAGGGAAAGGTTTGGAAAGTGCAAGAAGTAGTTGACTTACATTTCAATAAATTAATCAATTTGGAGCCAGCATCGAATAAAACAAGAAGTTCAAGAAGCTTGCTCGATACAGTTGAAAGGCATTTACGAAGTCTAGAAGTGTTACATCAAGATATTGATCAAGCTGTGTTTGTGTCAATGATACGAGCTAAACTACCAGAGGAAGTTCTTGTTCAGTTAGAAATATTAAATGGGTCGAACAGTGAGTGGAGTATAGACAAGCTTCGAAAACGATTGAATGAATATATTCTTGCCAGGGAAAGAGCAGAAAAGAAAGATAATGTGTTGGAAAAGAGAATACATGCATCGTCTATTCAATCAGGATACAAGCACAATTCAGCTCAACTAAGGAGTTATACACATTCAGCTCAGCCAAGAAATTATACAAATTCACCCCAACCGAGGAGTTATTCAAAATCAGCACAATCAAAAAGTTATTCAAGCGCTGCTCATGTGCTTACAGTCAATAACCCTAAGCAACTTACACAAAGACAACAGACTGAAAATTATGCAGATAAATGTCGATATTGTCAGCAGAAACATTGGAGCGATGAGTGCACACAATACCGAACTATAAATGAAAGAAAACAGCAATTGAAAGACAGCTGCTTCAAGTGTTTAAAAACAGGTCACAAATCAAGTGAATGTAAGAGAATCAAAATTTGTACACACTGTGGTGAAGTGAACAAGCATCATAGAAGTTTGTGTCCTCAAAAATTCAAGGTGAAGGAATCAATGACGCATTTAGCAAACGAAGAAACAGAAAGAGACTAAAAATTCTGAGGAAAATGTTCTCGTGTCGTCAAATGAAATGGTTCTAATGCAGACGGCAATTACAGATATTAAAAATCCAAATACCTCTGCAACACAGTCTGTTAGACTTTTGTTGGACTCTGGATCTCATCGGACATATATAACTGAAAACTTAGCAAGAAATTTACATCTCAAAGTAACGGGAGAACAGGAAATAAAACTTGTAACGTTTGGTAATAATAGTACGCAATGCATCAAAACAAAATGTGCTGACATTGATGTTAAACTGAAAAATGGTGAATACCATTCAGTCAGTGTGAACATAGTTCCGACAATAAGTGGCAATTTGCACCGAAGTCCAGCAGGTGTTTTGGATAAGAAGCACGTTAAACATATTATTGGAAGTGTTGATTTAGCTGATACATTACCAACTAGAAACAAAACATCATCAATAGAAATGTTAGTTGGTAACGACTATTATTTGGATTTTATTCTGTGTCAAAAGATCGAACTAAATCCTGGTCTGTTCCTTCTTGGGTCTAAGTTAGGATGGATCCTTACCGGAATAACCTTTGATCAAGATAGCGATGGCCCATGTATGCTTATTCTAACGCATGGTAATAATGCAACAAATACAAGTTTATTTGCCGATGTGGATAGTATTGTACCTGTGAAACCAAATTTAGAAGACTTTTGGAATGTGGAGTCAATAGGCATTATAGAAAAACAAAAAATTTCAGATGATGAACATGCAATGAAAATGTTTCAGGATACAGTTCAGTTTATAAATGGCCGATACCAAGTCACGTGGCCTTGGACTGAAGAATTTCCTGATTTACCTGTAAACAGGGACTTGGCAATAGGTCGCTTAAAAAGATGTGTTAATAAACTAAAAACAAAACCTCAGTTAATGATGAAATATGATGAAGTTATGAGAGATCAGCTAAGTAAAGGTGTTATAGAGAAAGTTGAAAAATCACCAGTAGATGGTTTGGTACATTATTTGCCACACCATGCTATTATCACACCACAGAAAACAACAACTAAGATACGCGTAGTATACGATGCTTCGGCGAGAACAAGAAAATAAAATAAAAGTCTAAATGAGTGCATGTATAGGGTTCCAGTAATGTAACAGGACCTCTGTGGTATGTTACTACGATTCAGGATGCATCCGATAGCAATCGTTGCCGATATAGAAAAAGCAGTTTTGCAAATTGGATTAAAACCTAGTCAGCGTGATGTCACAAGATTTCTTTGGTTGAAAAACTGTAAAAATCCTACTGTAGTTACTGACAATATACAAGGATTCAGATTTTGTAGGATTCCTTTTGGAGTAATCAGTAGTCCGTTCTTATTAGGAACAACGGTAGACTTCCATTTAAAATGTTATGAAAATCCAGTTGCAGAAAATCTAAGAAACAACATTTATGTAGACAATGTTATCACCGGAGCTGAAAACACAAGTGAAGCAATACAGCTATATACAAAATCAAAGGCAATGTTTGCAGATGCCTCGATGAATTTACGGAAATGGATTACCAATAGTGATTTTGTAAATGAGTTCATTCCAAAGGAAGACAGAGCCGATACGAAAAGTGTTAAAGTACTTGGAATCATTGGAATGTCAATGAAGATACAGTTACAATAACAGGTCCAAAAAAAACAAATCAAATGAACCGGAGTGGACAAAACGTACTGTGTTGAAAATAATTTCGTCCGTTTTTGACCCACTTGGCTTGCTATCACCAGTACTCTTACGAGGAAAAGTGTTTATTCAAACATTATGGCCAAAAAATATCGACTGGGATGACAATTTGACTAAAGAAGATCAAGAAAAATGGTTATCTATTTTAAAAGATATCCGAAAAATAGACACGTTGCAAATTCAAAGATGCGTTTGTGCCTTCACATGACATTCTAAGAAATACTTATTGTTATGTTTCTGTGATGCATCGGAAAAGGCATTCTCAACAGTGATATATTTGCATGTTTCAGAGGAAAATACAACCGATGTCAATGTAATATTTGCATAAATTAGACTTACACCTATTAAGAAACTAACAATTTCTAGGTTGGAGCTTCTAGCAGTTCTGATCGGACTTAGGTGCTTAAAATTTGTTAAAGAGCAATTAAGAGTGCCTATTGAAAAGCAATATTTATGGACAGATTCGAAATGTGTTTTACAATGGGTTACGTCGGATAAGAAATTACCGTTATTTGTAAAGAACAGAGTCAGTGAAATCAAAGAGCACATTGATGTTAACATGACATACATACCAAGTAAAGAAAATCCAGCAGATGTTGCATCCCAAGGGACAACACTGGAAACATTAGCAACTGACTCTAATTGGTGGCACGGTCGTTGAAGCCTACCTCTGATTGGCCAACCGATTATCAAAAAAATGATGATAGCTCACAAATAGTTGAAATGGAAGAACAAACAAACAAACAAGACAATAAAGAGGACTATGTTAATGCAAGCTAAAATTAATGCGGAAGAACATAATAATAATCCTCCATTTGACATTGACAGCAAAAGATTTTCTTCTCTTACAAAACTGCTAAGAGTAACAGCTTTTGTGTTGCGATTCATACAGAAACTAAAGAAAGTTGAAAGAAAATATGGTTATTTAGAATGTAAAGAATTGTTAAAAGCTGAGAAAATGTGGATTAAGCATATTCAAGAAACTCATTTTCAAAGTGACATCAATTCAGTTCGAGCTAAAGAAAGGTACAAATAGACAACAACAATTAGGGCTATTTCTTGACGAACAAGGGTTATTAAGATGCACTGGAAGGCTTGAAAATGCAAATTTAAGTGAAGGTGCCAGACAACCAATACTTCTTCCAAGAAACGATCATTTTACTGAATTGATTGTGGAAAAAACGCATAAAGAACTACTACATAGCGGTGTTTCGCAGACGCTTGCAACAACGAGACAAAGATTCTGGATTTTACATGGTCGTGCAACAGTGAAAAGAGTGTTAAATAAGTGTGTTGTCTGCAGACGCCACGAAGGTGGTTGCTATAAACTGCCACCATTATGTTGTCTACCGAGGTCAAGAGTGACAGAATCAGTACCATTTTCAAGAATAGGACTAGAATATTTTGGTCCAGTGTACTTGAAAACAACAACAGGTGACGAGAAAAAGGCATGGATATGCTTATTTACGTGCTTAGTAACTCGTGCTGTGCACCTTGAACTAGTTTGTGACATGACCACAGAAGAATTTCTCTTAGGTTACCGTCTGTTCATAGCTCAAAGAGGTACTCCATTGCATATAATTAGTGATAATGCAAAACAGTTTATAGTCGCTAGTTTAGTGATAGATAAGATTTGGCATTGTATATTACATAGTTATGAAGTTCAAAGCTACTCTGCAAATGCAAACATCCAATGGAATTTTATTATAGAGATCGCGCCATGGATGGGAGGATTTTACGAGTCTTGTAAAAAAGATCATTCAGAAAAGCTGTGGGGCGAAAACTCTTAACTATAATTCAAGCTCAAACACGTATCAAAGAAATTAAAGCCGTAGTGAACTCAAGACCTTTAGTCTATATTGGTGATGATGTTAACTCTACAATTGCATTAACACCGAGTCATTTCCTTACGTTGAATCCAAAGATCGGTATTCCTCAAGTTTCGGACGAAAATGACTAAAGTGAATATTTGCCAACAGAAAGCTCTTCCGAAAAGTTGTTGAACATTTGGAAGAAAGGTCAAAAACTTTTAAATAAATTTTGGCAGATATGGAAGAATGATTACTAAGCTTACGAGAAAGAATGCAAACACGTTTGAAAGCAAGCCGTATTCAGTCGCCTGTAAATCCAACAATTGGAGATATTGTTATTGTAAAGGAAAACATTCCTCGAGGCAACAGGAAACTGGCAAAAATTGAGAAGTTAAATGTCAGTCGAGATGGTGCTATAAGATCTTGTCAAATTAAATTGGCTTCAGGAAATGTTCTTAATCGTCCAATGAATTTACTTTTTCCCATTGAAACGACTCAAAATAATATAGTAACAAAAGAAAAAAGTGATGAAAATGTGTTTGAAGAGCAATTAATACGTTCAAACAGAAACAAAAACAAGATGCAAAGTTCAGATGCCCGAACGTAATGTACGTTCTGCAGCATCAAAAGCGTTAAAGGCAATTAAACAACAGTTATCTGAATAAAAAGTGAAAAGTTAAGGCGGAGTTTAATTAAAAAACTATGCTCACTTTAACGTTAACGTTTATACACTGTGAATGCTCCGCAGGACATTTGTTTGTTTACGGAAGACTCACATGTACAAATAACCTAAACGGAGCATAGTTACTGTGTAAAATTACCCAAAGTTTTTCTCGCAAAAAACGTGCAAATCATGGAAATAGCATATAAAATATGAAGAAACTTTGTATTGTGTCATCATTTCACAGCAGACACCTACAGATAAATATCAGAAAAATCGCAAAAATATTAAAATGTATCAATGCGATACTTGTCAAAAGATGTATAAGTATAAGAGAAACCTACTAAGACATGTTAAAGAACGACACAGAGAGGCTGAACATTGCAATTGTCCTGTTGATGAATGCACATCCAAATTGATTCGTCGGGGATATTTGTGCAAACATTTGATACTAAAACATGGCTACACATCATCGAAGTCACGTGAAACTGCTATATCAGCCACCAGAGGAAATGCGCATTCACAGAACTCATATTACGATGACGTCAGTGACGATGATTCTATATTAGATTTATTGTCAAACAACGACACACACAACGACTTTGGGCCGGTTTTAGACAGTTTTGATTTGAACATGCTTGATGAAACGAACAACAGTAACTATGATGACGTCAGTAGAAATAACGTCAGAGACGTATACGTAAAGGATTGCCAGGCAAGTGTTGAGTGCAAGGATGTTGAAGTTCCTATTGAAATAAACAATTATAGTGGAGTGGTAATGAACGTCAGAATGATATTTGTGACTCGATAAGTGACGTTAACGTCAACGTAAACGTCAACGGAATAAATGGCAACCAAAAAGATTCTGGACATAGTACAGAAATTAAAAATAGTGAAACTGAAAGTGATAGTGAGAAGGAGGACGGTTATAGTGTCATAACAAGTTTCTCCGAGGGAGTAATATTGACGTCGACGTTGACAGTCATTATGATCAAAACACAGAAAATTCGACATCTGAAAGTATTGTTGATGAGAATAACAACTGTTGTTTGGATAGTAAAGACTCAGATCTTTCCGACGATGGCATATCAATAATAACGTTTGTGATGAAGATATAGTTATTAGTCCCCTACCGGTTTACCGTAGGGGAATTTAGGTTTACCCTCCGTCCGTCTGTCTGTCTGTCCGTCAGTCCGTCCGTCCGCACTCACAGGAGAGTAATTATGTGGCTAGAGGGACAATAGGTAACTGTTCTTTCTCTTTGATGTCATTCATTCCGTAATGCTTTTATGTGGCTATTTTCTTTTGTGTGGCTAAAAAGAACAATAGAGAGAACAATAGAGTAGCCACATAATTACTGTCCTGTGAGAACTTCCGTCTGTCCGCCCGTCAGCCCGTCGTCCACAAAACTGGATCCCGCGATAACGCAAAAAGTACTGAAAATATTTCAATGAAACTTGATATATGGATAGATGGCAGTATGGAGATTATGCACGTCTTTTTTTTTCTTCCTATGTTGAAAATTCTGGTTGCTATGGCAACAAATAGACTGAAAATATGACCAATTTTACACATAACCTGGACCCCGCGATAACACAAAAAGTACTGAAAATATTTTTATGAAACTTAATATATGGATAGATGGCAGTATGGAGATTATGCACGTCTTTTCCTTTTTTTTCCTATGCTGAAAATTCTGGTTGCTATGGCAACAAATAGACTGAAAATATGGCAAATTTTACACATAACCTGGATCCCGCGATAACGCAAAAAGTACTGAAAATATTTTTATGAAACTTGATATATGGATAGATGACATTATGGAGATTATGCACGTCTTTTTCCTATTTTTCCTATGCTAAAAATTGTGGTTGCTATGGCAACAAATAGACTGAAAATATGACCAATTT